GCCAAAAAGACGAACAATTTAAAAGTCCAAATTTGGAAAGAGTAATAAAAACTTCTATAATTTCTAAATATCGTATTCCTCGATAAACGGAAGACTAATTAGACGTATTTCTGCCAAACGGAAGTATGTGCATTGAGACACGAGCCCTGAGACCCATAAGAATATTTACATAACAGGGCTCACGTCATGAGGCACATAGTTCCGTTTGGCAGAAGTACGTCCAATTGATGCAATCGATACGTCGCAGGCAAATACTTAGTTAAATTAGGTATTTTATCAAATGCCGGGACAGATAGTCAAATGTTGACCGTTTTCGAGGTTTAAGTATGTTTTAACGAAAGGCTCTTAAGTTTTAAACGTTTTAAGAGTAAAAATTCATCAAATCTACAAACTTTCTTGGTTTTTTTCCTCTCTAAATGTTCTTCATATGTTTTAACCGGGAAAACTTGACAAATTCTGTGTTTCATACATTTCTCTTTTTGAGGTAAATATTACTTCAAAGGCTACAAATCATTTTTTTCAGATATCATTGTATGATACACCTATTTTTATAGCGAATTATTTCCAACATAGGTAAAGAATCATTCATTCGAACATTTAGCAAAAGAGCCACAATTTTAATTCAAGTAAGAATATTTTACTACCTCTCTAGGAATTTGAAAAAATACCTGATTTGTTTATTTGCCTGTGACAGATTTATCGATGTTTGATAATTATCTTCCTATAGCGCGTATAATGGAACTTTTTTGAAAAACAAAGGTGACAGACGGACAGGAGGCGAGTGTTACAGAAGCGTAGTGTTAGGTATAATTATAGCGTGCAAAGTCGCGATGCAACTATTCGACCACCCAAGCGTGGCACAGTATCACTCGAAATTGAAGGCGAGCATAACGCACCAAATCACCAGGCCAATACCTGCAACGGCTAAAAGGTAGCTGGATTTTGAGGAATCACGATGAAAATGAACGCGACATATAATTAGCGTACGGAAGTGTGATGCACCATGCAACTATTTGACCACCCGAACGTGGCACAGTATCATTCGAAATTGAAGGCGAACTCAGCGTACCATTTCACGGGCCAATTGCTGTAAGACGGCTAAAGTTGCTGAACACACATTACCGCTGTGGTATAACATTATCACTTCGAAGGAATTTCAGAAAAGCTTAATATTTAGCCGCCTTGTTCTGGTATAGATTTCAATTTCGTAAGGGTCAGCCGAAACATAAAAAAAAAAAATTCCAGGTAGATTGCCAGGAGCCCCCCTGGCTCTTTCAAACTCGGGGACGGGTCCTAAAACGAAATCTCTGATAAAACAAAGGCCTATTTTTTTTAGGTCGGGCTATCATTTTCACACGATCACTATTCTACCGCCGTGTTTGTGGAATTTTGTTTAATTTCGTCGGTCAGTCCGCGACCTGGGCAGCAAGCAGTCCACGGATTGGCCGATTTCGTAAACGAGGTGTAACATTTACACTCGAGTATGATTTGATTTTTTCTTCTAATAATGCTTGAAATTGGTTCTGTTATGTATAATACGTCGTTTCTCGGACGAAGGAGCATAACTTCAATCCAAAGTTGTAAAATTGACTCAAACAGTCCAATTTTCTAAAAGAAGGTACGTATTGTCCAAAATTTCTCTGATTTTTGCATGAGATCTGAGGAAAAATCAGGGAGATTTTCAGTCAGAAATGCAAAGGAACCTCCCAGGAAGTAAAAAGGCAATTTGCAATGGGATGTTTGGCAACATTTAAATGTAGTTACGTTCTTTCGTGAGGAAAACGACGAATATCTGAGGTCTCGATTAAAGCGTATGTAAATTTGTTACTAATAATTAACCACCCAAGTCGACCACTTAAATAGCCAATGTTTGTCACATCAAATGCTCCGATGTTACAAAAACCCGTTAACTGAAAAAAAAAATCTCGGTGTATTTACTAAGAAAAGGGTAAAATTACCAAGAATTCAGGGTTCTATTTGATCCCAGTTTTTTCTTGGTAAAATTACCATTTATGGAATTGGTAATTTTACCGAGAAATCTCGGTAAAATTATTGACTTTCTCAGTAATTTTACTGGACCCCGGTAAAAATGCCAATATTTTTTATCGACTGTGGTGGAATTACCGAGATAAAATGGCGAAGTTACCGGGAATTGATTACCAATAAAAGTTGTAATCTTACCTGAGAAAAGCAGGAAAAATACCGATTTCAGGTAGGCTTACCAGTCTGTCTTGGTAAAATTACCAATAATTGGTAAAAAAAAGTGAGATGGTAAAGGTACCAACGGACCTTGGTAAAAACGCCGAGAATTTTTTTCAGTGTTAAGTTGTGAACATTTGATTGTTCTGTGAAGATTATTTCCGATGTTACAACAAATCGTCACGTTGCCAAAAATTGATTGTTTCGTATGGATGATTTCCGTGCGCAATTCATTGACACTTACACCGTTTGGTTTAAGAGAGTCTCTTACAAAAAAAAAAATGTATGAATATACGAATTTTACCAAATGATCTGCGGTAAAAAATGAGAAAAATAAAACAAAAACGAAACCGTAAGTGGTTTCTAAGGCACAGTTCATCGCTCCTCTGATGAAAGGGCGTATCTCAATTTCCTCGTGAGCCCTATTTTCTCCATAAGACTCCATGCTTTCCGAGGCTCATTTGGACGTATTTCTATCAAACGGAACTATGTGCATTATGACGTGAGCCCTGTTATGCACGTATTCTTATGGGTCTCAGGGCTCATGTCTCAATGCACATAGTTCCGTTTGATAGAAATACGTCCATTTCGAAATAGAGATACGTCATTACGTTAGAGGACCGACGAGTCAAGAGGAGTAAGAACCCTTTTCATCCGTACCTTTCGTTGAGAATAGATCTAGCCCGGGGCGTGTGGTCACGTTAGGGTCTCTTTCTTTTATTCCTCTATTGTGTCTCATTATTTTCTCCGAATTCGCACGTCTGCCCTCAGTGCCGACACCTCCTTAACTCTCGTCTTTTATCCTGTCATTTTGATGCGTGTTTTCTCCAAATTCAGCGAGCCGTCTGCAATTTTTATTAGCACATCACACCTCTCCGTGTGAATAGTGAAGTTTGCATGGCTATCCATTTCTCCCTGTGGACCTGTCAGTCAAGACCCCGCCCATTTTTGCGGGAAGTGTGGTTTATAATATACAGGATATTTCTTGCAATGTTGACATTTTATCGATCCGAATGATCATTGAATATCAAGCCATCAATGAAAGAAACAACCTAACTCCGAGGACCTGATGTACCTAAAGGTAGTGACGCCTTTAGATTCGTCTAAAAGCAGCAACGATTCACACATCTAGCACACTGCTCTAAATCACTTTAATGTGACGTCCATGTTTCACATGGGCCTATATCGCACCCCACTATTTACTGAAGATGAAATTTGATGGAAAATGATCTCCAGCGCAGTCGTGGCTCGTACTGTGAATATTCACCAAGAAAAGTTGTATGTAATTTTGAAAAAATTCAGCTTATCGTGTGACGAGCATCAATTTTAGTGTATCTCAATCCTGTCACTGCAGCCGGTAGTAAACGATCATTGAATTGTTAAATATTTAGAAAACGAACGTTGGTCTTTTGTTTATTGAGCTATAAGTTAGAAACTAAAGACGTATAGAAATGAAGGGACTTCCTTTTACATAAAAGGCACATAATAAACACAAAAAAAAAACCCCAACAAAATAAGAAAACATAGAACAAAAATAAATATCAATCAATGAATCAACAAACATTAGTAAACAATAGTAATCAGTATAAAATATCAAACAATATTACTTTTGATCATATCTCACATTAAATTCAGAATCCTACGTTGCTAACCCAGCGTTTGAGTCTCCAAGCCCTGGGACAAAGCTTAAAGCTCTATACATTGAGCTCTGCAATCAGATACGATAAGAAATTGATCCAACTTTTCTTGGGATTTTCGTTTTCCACTGCCTATATCACACAGTCAAAAGAAGTCCAACTCAATTTTGTAAGAAACCTTTCGGGTTCAAATTTGATAGTATTACGGGCAGTGCTTTATTTCACGACAGAAAAATCGTGTTTCTGTATTGAACGCGCCTCGACAGCTATTATCTGTTTCCAAAATGTGTCGTAAAATTTCGATTGCAATGTGTTTAAAGCCTTCACTTGTGCTCATTTTTTCGAGAGAAAACACACCCCCCCCCCACTCCCAATTGATCGTGCGGACCTCTCTAATTTCATAAATAACAAATTTATTTTTTCCTCCAACAAAATAAAAACGAACAAACAATACATTTGTAAAAATGTATACAGGTTTCTACAGATTGCTATTGTTGTCACGAGGGTCAGAAACTTTATTTTCCTCACTGCTGGGAAATCTGATGTTTGCAAGTCGAAACTGAGCCATCATGTGATACCATATTGATGAACTTGGTGATCAGGTTTATAGACCTTGTCTCTTCATGTTTCTCCCTGAAGAAACTGATTACCTATAAAATAGCTACCGCGAACATCACCGTGGTCACCTTACAGTTATAGTTGAGTAATATGTCATTTCGCGACACCAAAACTCTCATGAATTCATGACTACCGTCTGTCTGACCTCACGCTAATCCTGTAATGAGCATGAATCTCTCCACCGTCAACGACAATCCAACTGGCACTAATGATCTCTACTGGCATCTGTTTGTACTTCAACAGGTAAAATAAGATGATTGCCTGCCAGCCATTGTTTAAAGTGCCAGCAATCAATTATTATCATTTTAATTGATATCTCTACGATGGCATGTCAAGCAGGTAGTTTTTGTTCTTTCGTCAGAGGCTCTATTAGTTATGAGCTCTGTTGCCAATTTTTGTGCGTGACGTGAGCCTTGCTATGCATACATTTTGATGGGTCCCAGGGCTCATGTCTTAATGCACATAGTTCCGTTTGGCAGAAATAGATTCATATGAAATGGGATCTACTTTAGAAGCTTCATGAAAGGTAATTTGTTGGTGTTTCAGGCGGAGCTGTCGGTACAGGGAGACGATTACACGCGGAAGATATGGCACATGTACGCGACATTTGAGGAATTGGTGGACCATCACACTGGAGGCGCGAAGCCAAAAGAGGATGGCGGATTCAAGGGAAGCTCAAGCGGAATGGGGACGCGCCCGGAGCCGCAACCGCCGCCAGTGGCCCCGCAGTCGGCGCCACCTCGCGCATCCATAGGAGGGAGCTTCTTCGAGCTGAGCGGAGCCGGAACCACAGGCGACGCCGACGCCGGCGCCTCCATGTCCCCGCAGACCTCGTCCCTCGAGTTCTTGGGCTCCGGATCCAAAGACGACATGAGCTTAGAGTACCGAAAGCCGCACTACCGAACCCGCTACCGCCGCGGTCGGAAGAGACTCGGCGTCTCGAACCCCCTCCTGGACACGATCAGCTCCATCAGCTGGATGCAGCCCGACGACGAGGGGGGCTACGGAAGCCACGGATCCCACAAGAATTTCGGGCCCAAGTACAGCTCCGACTTCGACAGGGACTCCATCAGCTACGCCGGCTCCAACTCCATCGACTCCGGCTACAAGAGCTACTGCCCCACGCCGGAGCCCTCGGAGGGCCTCTACTTCGAGAAGCGCGGCTCTATATCTAGTCAGTGTTCGCAGAAGCCGCGGATACCAATGGGCACGCGGGTCCTCAACCGGAACTCCATGCCGCAGTACTACAGCACGGACGACGAGCAAGAGCACGACTCCAGCCTCAGCTTCCGGCACAGTTTGCTCAGCGTCGAGTCGGTCGGAGCCGGCGCCGGGAGCGGAGTCCTGCGGCCGCGGAGTCTGAGCACGAGCAGCGCGGGCGGCTACCGGCGACCCGTGAGCCCCGTCTCGCAGAGGTCGCTCCGCACGAGTTGCCCGAGCTGCCCCAGCTCCAGAACGCACAGCCCCTGCTACAGCGGCGCCAGCGGCAAGAGCTCCCCGCTCTACCACCGCACCAAGCTACCCTCCGACCACGCAGACGTCGGCTACCTCTTCAGCAAGCGCATCCAAGACGACCAAGTCACCGCTCTTATCAATGTCCTAGATGACAGCAACCGTTGGACAAGTGTCGCTCGGGTCAAGAATCTTAAAGGTGAGTCTCGTCCAGCTTTACATGCCACTGAAAACAAAAAGTATCACCATGGGCGTAGCTAGGGGGGTCCTGGAGGGGGGCCTTCCCCCCCCCCCCCC